CTGCACAGAAGAGGGTTGCCAGTTCTCAGTTTCCGCTTTCCCACAGATTTCCATGCCAAACCTCAGAGCAAGAGTTTGGCCCTTGTGATATTACAAGAGACACATTCTTGTGAAATAACTTCAAAAATAAATTGCGTGCTTGTGCCTGTGTGTGTGACTGGGACATGGCTGGAGTCATAAAGGAGGAGGAGATTAAAGCCACCACATACAGAACAAAACCAACCTTTCTCTTTCACTAGCACAACTCAGCCTGAGAGTCCCCTCCCTTTTTGAATTGCTGGGGAAACACAACAATTCCCTGACACATTAGCCAGTGACCTGAGACCTTGCAAAGAACATAGGAAAAGAATGATGTTGCAATAAAGAATTGGTGCAGTTGCATACTGGTGGGTAACATAAACAAAGAAGAGAAGACATGTATAAACTGTAGAAATCGAGAAATAGAAAACAGAAGAATGGAGAATTCCCAGGGTGACCATTCCATTTAAAAAAACTCTGCAAATTAATTCAGAGTTTTGAAATCCTGGGAAACATTAGGATGAGCAAAAGGAAAGTATCTCTGCTGAAAGCAGGCAAGCATTTCCTATTCTCTGTTATTGTACCCAGTGTAGTGGAAGCGGGAGGCATCTTAAGGTAGAGTTTAGGAAAGAAATCCTCCCTGAAACCCTGGAAGAGTGGCTGCTAGATAGTGTTGACAATACTGGATTAAATGTACCATTGGACTCTAATATTGGAGATCAAGGAGTTCACTATAACTTTCTTTCAAACAGTTCTAAGTACTACACCAAACTACAAATCCGAGGATTCTGTAAGATGAATCATGACACTGCTATACAGTTTTAGCAGTGTCATGATCAGTGGTTCCCAATCTTGGATCCCTAGATATTCTTGGGCTAAAAATCCCAGAAATCCTGGCCAGCACAGCTGGTGGTAAAAGCTCCTGGGAGTTTTAGTCCAGGAACATCTGGGGACCCAAGGCTGGAAACGAATGGTTTCAATAGACCCAGAAGCCCTATTAACATGAATGCATAAATAAAAGAGGATGAGGCTGTCCCTGTCCTTGTAAGCATTCAGTTGCCCAGCTCTCTGTTCCTCTGATTATTATGTGAAGGCTGGAATGGAGAGCCAACTGAACTTGTCATAGGCAACATGGGACTGGAACGGGGGATTGCCTACCAAAAGTTTAGGGTGAGCTTGGTACTTGCACAGCCTTTTCCAAACAACTGGAAGCTTAGGGCCATAGCTGCAGTTGGAAGCCATAGGCACAGTTGGAAGCCCCTACCCAGTAGTTTGCAATATGAATGATGTTTGCAATAAAAAGGACAGTGTGATAGCAGATCCCAATGGCATGAAGGGTCTGCACAGTGCAACCTCCTACCCCATCCAACCGGCACAGACTGCACAGAGATCAGAGTGGAGTCAGGAAGGGGCAGGGATCGTATTGGTGATTCTTGTAAGTGCAGAATGATTATGGGATTGGGTCTCTTCCTTTGTAAGGCTTAGATCTCATGGGGACGGCTAACAAGTCAGGAGAAATATAATACAGTATTAACTGCATACGATAAATTAATATATAAATACTGGTGGATCAGAATTCAAGACATCTACATAACCGAGAAGCGATTATGCACCAAATAAAAGGATGAAATGGCAAAAATGTGTTTTTCAGTCCTTTTTTCAACATCAATACACACAGTGCCTCAAAAGGTTTGGATGCCTTGGCTACAACTACTGGCAATCAGTTTCTCAGAATAACGTAATTCCAAAGTTGATAACTACACATCAAATATATTTTTAACACTACACAGACAATTCTTGGCATAATGCTTACAACTTCATTGAATGCTAATAAGTACAATATATTTAGTTCTCCAAGGAGAAGATTCCTGTAAAATTTCAAAAGCTGAAAATAAAAAACAAAGAGGAAAATTGGCTCTTTTACCATGCTTGCATGCTAAAAGACTAACTCAACCCCAGAAACTGATGAAAGCCTGATGTTAAATACCTTTTGAGGTCAAAATAGTGAAATAATAGAAATATAAATTATAAATTACAATCTCTATCATTTTAATGAGTGTTACTGAAACCCTAAGTGACTCTTCTAATCCTTCAAATGGTATATTCAAAGGTAATTCTTCCTTTAACTTCCTTCGATTCAGTTCCACACTCAAAATGATTTCCAGAGTTTTTACAAAAAGCGTTATATTAAAAGGCAAGTCAATTATATTTAGGTCAATAGATATGAAGTATGCAGGCAAGGAAAACTCCATAGGCATACTACTGTTGTGGGCTGAGAGGAAACTTTGTTTCCACAAAGGAAAGGGACTTTGTAAAAAATTATTTTCCCTGTTTCTACTATAATACATAGTCTGGATATGGAAGGCAATGAAGCAACTTGGAATATTATTCCATTTGGAATGAGAAGCACAGGCCTAGTTCACTCTAATCTGGCTTCGAGATGAAATCACAGTGCCAAATTAAATATAGGATACCTGATTGACTAGAAACCTCAGAAAACTAGGAGACATCAGCTGCCAGAAGAGAATGGATAGGCACAAAACAGATCAAAATTATTCTGGAGAGGCTTTCAAGAAACATTTCAGAAGTCCTGGACCTCTCTATAGCTTCACATGGAAAATATTTGGCCATGAAAACCTGATTTAGGAACTATAGCTAATATGCTCATTACTTCTAACAGAAACAGGTGATATCTAAGAAGAACCTCAGTATCTAGTGAATCGTTCAGCCCACCAAGTGTTAGTTCTAAAGGTTTTATTTGACTGTATTAGACTGGAGTGAAATGGCAAATTTTACCCTATCCCACCAGAAATACTGATTGCTCTGAATTCTTTCTGATTCAAAGAAAGGTGTGATCTCACAATGGATGTTTGGCATCCTGGGTGGGTTTGTAGCAGTGATTTGATAGAAAAAGATGTTCCTTAAAAGAAAGCAATTACCAGTAAAGTAATTGCTTCTCCTAAAAGGTAAATGGCCTCAATAATCAGCCACTCTGAGAGATTACAGTGCAGGAGAAATGCTTTTGTCTGTGTGAGAATTACAGAGCAGTAGGAGAGCCAACTGCAGATTGTCCCCCCCCCAAACCAAAATAAATAAATAAATGCTACTAAAACTCCAACCTCATCCCAACCAACCAAAGCCATATTAAAAAAAAAAACAACACACACACAATGCAACTTATCCATGTCAATGAGCTGCCCTCAGGAAGAGATGTTACTGGCCAATTGTACCATAGCTAAAGTAACACACATATGGAAGCATTGTTAAAAGCTTATATTGATCCACCTGTTCCCTTTGAAATACACAACTGACAGCAAGAAAATCAGAGTTCAGTCAACTAAGCCATGTGCTTGAAATTCAAGCATTCTACCAAGGGACTGATTTTGGCAAAGGTGGTTTACTCCTCCATTTTATCTGCAGAGTAATCTACGGAGAAGTTGTATGCTGAGAGATAATGGCTGACCCATGGTCACCCAGTGTGCATCGAGATGAAAACTGTTCAAACATAGGCCTTTCTTAATCTATATTGACTCAGCCTTATCCCATATGACAGAATTATTGTCTTACTATAACACTATGGCTAAAAGTATTTTGGTCAATGCAGTTAAGTCATACTAGAGTAGGCCCAGTGAATAAGTGGAGATTTGGTGAGTCAATTCTTCCACATGTTCTGTTGATTCAAATGGGCTTATAGAATAAAACAGGAGCTGACACATCAAATATACATTCATTCAATAGGCCTATTCTAGTTTGAGTTACTATAATAAGCAACAGGATTCAGGTGGTATGTAATCATATATCATTTACATATAATTAAGACAAATTAATAAATAAATTACGAGTTCAGAAAAAATTAAATAAGAAGAACATTTTAAGCAAAAATAAGCAATATTTTACTTAATGTGTTCATTTAAAGTTTTGGAATAAATGTAAAACATTATCAGTATAATAGTATGGTCTGGAATGTTTGTTGTTTAGTCGTTGTGTCCGACTCTTTGTGACCCCATGGACCAGAACACACCAGGCCCTCCTGTCTTCCAATGCCTCCCAGAGTTTGGTCAAATGTTCTGGAATAAATACGAACTAAAAAGATAGCAATCAAAAATAAAATCTGATTTAGAATTCTAATGTAAGAATCTGGAGTAAGTGTGCAATTCTAGTGATAAGCTTTGCAAAGCTTTGGCAGTTCATGGGTAAGAAATAAAAATATTTATGTTTAGGAGATAGAACTTGCAGTGGTAAAGCATTCTAGGGGGCTGTGGTGGACAGAGATTCAAATAAATAAATGCATAATAGGAAATGCCACGAATCTCACAATCTATGTGAAACGTTTTGAAGATCATTTTCTAAAAAAGGCCAGTATTTGAACATTCATAATTCAGTATACCCTAGCTGAATCCAGTACTGAAGTCAACAAATACCACTATATAAAATGAATATATATAATATGTATCCTGCCAGATTTTATTTCAAATCCCTATATTCTGTTTCCATCTTGGTCCTGTGTCCTAAATATCCTCAGGTTTGGAAGTGAAATCTCCAACCAATGATGGGAGAAACTTCCATTTGCACAGAATTCTGATTATGAAATGTGTACTTCCACAAGTAAAAGTTTATTTTGGTTCACGGATTCAGATTTGTAGCATAAACCACGCTGACCAAATTAATAAAGAAAGAAAGCCACATCAAGCCTTCAAGAATGTAAGGGCAGCCTTCAAGACATTAGCCTGTTCTTTTCAGAGACCCTCCATTCTTTCAGAGAGCCACTTCTAGTACACAGATGGCTGTCAGCCTAGGCTGAGAGTCAGGGAGATGAAAGATCAGTTTTATACAACCAACTTTCTCCTTCTGCAGTCTTTGGAACCATCCCAATCCTACCAGTTGTGCTAGTTGGTTGAAACATAAGAGCTGTTTATCGAAAACATAATTAATAAATGAACATTTAAAACTATCTCCAGCATAAATATGAGCATAGCATTTACCTTCAGTCCTGTCTGTAAGCTTCCCGCTCTTACTTGTTCCAGCATTTACAGTTTCGGAGGATGTGCTTAGTTTGGTATTGGGGTCTCGTTTCGGTTTTGGCGGTGGCTGCTTCCGAGAACAACTACCGCTTTCATCATCAGTACCTCCGACAGAATGAAGTGACTGGGATCTGACCGTAAAACCACTAGAGCAGGGATGCGGCAGGCGGTCCTGAGGCGCAGGCATCGTCATAAACCCCATACGGAAATGTTTGCCCACATAGTTTCCTTCATTTCCTCTCACCACTTCGCCACCTAAGCTGTAAGGCAATAACACATACAGATATGTGAATATGGGGCTTTAGAGTGGCTAATAAATTTTGCGTTTGACAGATTTTCATATGGGGACATATTTAGGATTGTCATAGTACTTGCAAGAGCTATTTTTAACCCACACATAGTTGCTTTGCTATTCAGGAAAAGAAATTAGTTCCAGATTAATGCATTTTCTTCCTCATAAACCTGCTCATTAAAAAAACACACACATATGAACAATCAATGACAACTATTTATGCTCACCTCACTGCTATGTTATTTGCAATGGATACACTTTTCTCTTCCATATATATATATATATAAAACTTAACAGTTTATGTAGTTTAAAGGAGAATCACACTCCTGTAACAAAATTCTTGCTGTTTCCTTTTAAATAAAGAAACTTTGAATGGGAGATACAACAATGGGCTGGATTACTCACATGTAACCCATTACTGCCTTTCAGCATTTAATATCCTTAATATCCTTACCCTCCACGCATGGTCTGGTAGCTAAAATTTAAAAGCTTGGATTATTTTTCACTAACAGTAACAAGCCCTGAGCATTCCTAGAGCTGAGCATCCATTCACTATGATGAGACTCTGTGAAGTGACTGCATCCTTGATCATAAAACTCTTGACTAATTTATAAAACAGGCTCACAGTGTATGAACATAAACAAGTAGCTGTGTGACCCAACCACAGAAACAAGGTTTTAGCTTCAGCAATACCTTGATTAGATCACAAAAAGTTAGAAACAAAGGAAGTTTTCTCCGGAACTATTTGTTAAGCAAAAATGATATAAATATGGGAGGACAAACACAATGATAGATGCTTTCTGTCTACAGATAGAGGAGTGACTATAAACTGATAGTCTTATTCAGATGTTATATTAGCTGGATTAATGATTGTGGTTGAAGGGTGCACATATACTCACCTCTTCTGTCATCACATTGCTCAAGATATAAGTGCCGAATCTGGACAGGAGAGGGTGTTGTGCGTAGGCTCTATGAGCAAGCAAGAGCTCAAATTTTGTGGAGTTCTCACTTGTTTGTAGAGCTTGCACATGAAAAGCAATGCTCTCCAGACTTGGCACTGAAAGTGAACAAAGCAATGAAAGAGGACGACGGGGTCTAGCCATTCCCTTCTAACTCTGGTCAGAATGACAGTTAACATAATGCCTGAATAGGGCTTTTGTCTGAGTCTCAGTCTTGTTAACAGTGTGCCTTAAAGCAGTGGTTCTTAACGTTTGTCACTCGGATGTTTTTGAACTGCAACTCCCAGAAACCCCAGCCAGCACAGTTGGTGGTGAAGGCTTCTGGGAGTTGCAGTCCAAAACTCCTGAGTAACCCAAGGTTAAGAATCAGTGCCTTAAAGAACAACAGGCATAATTGTTTTTGGATGTAGAGTTCTGGAGAATCTGAGAGCTTACCTTGTTTGTTATGTATAGCATTGAACTTTGACTATGTCTCTAGCAGAAGCCTTTCATACCAGCCTTTTGCCTATAGATGCCTGGAAGTGAAGCTGAAATCCTCTCCATGCAAAACATGTGACCTGCCTTCTCCCTTCAGATGAGTAGTGCACTACCTGTATAGCATTGAACTTTGACTATGTCTCCAGCAGAAGCCTTTCATACCAGCAGTTCTCTGAGCCTTTTGCCTATAGATGCCTGGAAGTGAAGCTGAAATCCTCTCCATGCAAAACATGTGACCTGCCACTGAACAACGATTCTCCCTTCAGATGAGTAGTGCACTACCAATAATGCACTGTAGCCTACTCTTAACCCCAAGCCATTAGGTTAATTTTACTTCATATTGTAAAATAATTCAAGAATGAGTAATAATTCCCAGAATGAATAAAATGTAGGGCTGGAAAATACATGTTGAATAAATTATCCCTTCTCTGCATCACCACCAGGTTATTTTTAATCAGCAGCAAAGGGAACAGTTGTGGGAGCAGGGAGGTTATTTTCATTTACTGGGCTTCCATTCAGAGCTAATGTTAATGTTTTTGTGTTTAAAATAATTCAAGAATGAGTAATAATTCCCAGAATGAATAAAATGTAGGGCTGGAAAATACATGTTGAATAAATTATCCCTTCTCTGCATCACCACCAGGTTATTTTTAATCAGCAGCAAAGGGAACAGTTGTGGGAGCAGGGAGGTTATTTTCATTTACTGGGCTTCCATTCAGAGCTAATGTTAATGTTTTTGTGTTTTGTCTCACTGAATCTCAGAAGTTAACCTGGGCAGCGGGCATGCTACCTGGGTGGTTTTGTTTTGTTTTGTTTTGAAAAAAATTATTAAAAATATTTTTCCAGTATATTTTAGAAATAAGTGTTCACTGAACAAAAAATGGGCAGCGGGCATGCTACCTGGGTGGTTTTGTTTTGTTTTGTTTTGAAAAAAATTATTAAAAATATTTTTCCAGTATATTTTAGAAATAAGTGTTCACTGAACAAAAAAGAAGGAAGGCCAAAGAGCAATGGATTCCAAAAATAAAATCTATCACTATTTTCTCACCCTATCAGCAAGAAAAATATGCTCTTGAGTCAGAAAAAGTGGCTCTTCCTTGGTCTAAACATACAATTAATATATCTATTTTTTAAAAAAAAAATAAANCTAGTTTGGAACTTTCCCTTTTCCTCTTGTTAGCACATATTCAATAAATCTGCCCCTTATATCATAAAAAATATATATTTTTCCCTCTCTCTCCTTTCTTAACCTTTAAATTACAAGTTCATTTAGCATTTATAGCAATGTTCCGTGTTTCATTATACCATTTTTCCAAATGAAATTCAAGTTTTGATTTTCAATTCACAGCAATTATTAAAATAGTCATCATATCATATTACACATTTACAAATATTGATAACAAAGCTGTCTCAGGATTAAATTCTATATCTCTTTCAAATATATCAGTTAATTCTTCAAAGATTAGTTTCCAAAATCTTTTCCAAAATCATTGTCCTGTTTCCAAAATCTTTGTCCTTTTTCACATTCTCACCACATACGAAAATGTACCAATTTCCTTTTCACATTTCCAACAGACATTCAGATAATTAGAATTGATTTTACTCAATTTTATCAATGTCAAATACGATCTTAAACCTAGTTTATTTTTTCTTTTATTCTGACCTACATAAATCATAAAACCCTCATTTTCCATCTCTTCATCCATTCTTCACCACTTACTCTTTTTCCTAAATCTTGTTTTCACACTAGCTTCAATCCTTCTTAATCTCTAAATCTAGCAGAAGTCAATAAAGTTTACTTAATACACTCTTCACTGACTCAGTCATCTGAATATCTTCATATGATAATAGAAATTGTTCATACTTTGTATATTCTTTCCCTCTGTTATACTTTTTACCCATTCATTAGTCCATCTTTCTAATTGCATATAATTCAACATTGATATATTCTTATTTTGAAGAATTTGTTTCATTTCCTCTATTGATCTCATGTTGTACAACCAATCTTTCAATCTAATCACTTTTTTCCTTATGGACTGATCTTTTCCAATCCTCTGGCCACTACTGCATTTTCCAAACTTGCTGCCATATTGAGTGTAGCACCTTAACAGAATCATCTTTTAAGATTTTAAATAGTTCCACTGCAATACCATCAACTCCACTGGTCTTGTTGTTAGCCATGCTTTCTAAGGCCCACTTGACCTCACTCTCCAGGATATCTGGCTCAAGTTCAGCAACCACACTATCTGGGTTGTCCGAGACATCCAGATGTTTCTGGTATAATTCCTCTGTGTATTCTTGCCACCTCTTCTTGATGCCTTCTGCTTCTGTTAGATCCCTACTATTTTTGTCCTTTATCATGTCCATCTTTGCACAAAATGTTCCCTTAATATCTCCAATTTTCTTGAACAGATCTCTGGTTTTTCACTTTCTATTATTTTCCTCTATTTCTTTGCATTGCTCATAAGGCCCTCTCGGTTTTCCTTGCTATTCTTTGGAAGTATGCATTCAATTTTATGTAACTTTCCCCATGTCCCTTGCATTTTGTTTCACTTCTCTTTTCTGTTATTTGTAAGGCCTTCTTGGACAGCCACTTCGCCTTCTTGCATTTCCTTTTCTTTGGGATGGTTTTTGTTGCTGCCTCCTGTACAATGTTACGAGCCTCCAGCTATAGTTCCTCAGGCACTCTGTCCACCAAATTGAGTTCCTTAAATCTGGTCTTCCACTGTGTATTCATAAGGATTTGGTTTAGATTATACCTGACTAGCCCAGTGGTTTTTCCTCCTTTCTTCAGTTTTGCTACAAGAAGCTGATGATCAGATCCACAATCAGCTCCAGTCTTGTTTTTGCTGACTGTATAGAGCTTCTCCATCTTTGGCTGCAGAGAATATAATCAAGCTGATTTCCGTAGTGCCCATCTGGTCATGTCCATGTGTAGAGCCGCCTCTTGTGTTGGAAAAGAGTGTTTGTGATGACCAGCTTGTTCTCCTGACAAAACTCTATGAGCCTTTGTCCTGCTTCGTTTTAAACTCCAAGGCCAAACTTACCTGTTGTTCCTTTTATCTCTTGACTCCCTACTTTAGCATTCCAGCCCCATATAATAAGAATGTCTTTCTTTTGGGTCAGTTCTAGAAGGTGTTGTAAATCTTCATAGAATTGGTCAATTTCTGGCTCTTCATCATCAATGGTTGGTGCATAAACTTGGATTACTGTGATGTTGAAAGGTCTGCCTTGAATTCATACTGAAATCATTTTATCATTTTTGAGATTGTATACCAGTACAGCTTTTCCCACTCTTTTGTTAACTATGAGGACCACTTCATTTCTTCTACAGGATTCTTGCCCACAATGGTAGATACGGTAATCATGTGAATTGAATTCGCCCATTCCCGTCCATTTTAGTTCACTGACGCCCAGGATGTCAATGTTTATTCTTGCCATCTCCTGTTTGACCACATCCAGCTTACCAAGGTTCATAGATCTTACATTCCAGATTGCTATGCAGTATTTTTCTTTACAGCATCAGATTTTC